CATTTGGCAAGGGTAAAGATTGAACATTTATAGAACAGTTAGGCACAGAGGATTGAAACTGCTCAGGTAAAGATACATTAAAATCTATTTTTCTAGAGGTAGATAAATTTTGACCAAGAGGAGATAGAGAAGAGGGTGATACCATAGGGTTGATCGGAGAAAGCGTGACTGACGCAGGTACGGGTTCTGGTACAGCTGGCTTAGTCTCGAAGGAGATGGGGAAGGGCATGGCCGAGACATGGCGAGCAAGTGCTAGAAGCTGCCGGCGTTCTTTGGCCGAAAGATCATCAAGCAAGGCCGGTTGATCTTTGATTGTGGCGAGGATGCGATCTGTAATATCCGGTGGGTATGGAGACTCAGCATCGATTATCCGGTGGGTTGATCATCAATGACAACGTTTGTTGACTCCATGATGGTTTTGGTCACTTTATTATACACTCGATAAGCTCTGCTGTTGGTGGAGTATCCGAGAAAGATCCCTTCGTCGCTTTTTGGTTCAAATTTAGAGGTAGGATTCCTATCTTTCAAAATGAAACAGCGTGAGCCAAAAATATGAAAATAAGTGATGTTTGGTTTCTTACCTTTCCAAAGCTCGTATGGGGTTTGTGTTGTACCCGGACGTAGATAAACTCTGTTGATGATATGACATGCAGTGTTTACAGCTTCTGCCCAAAATTTCTGAGGTAGGCCTTTTGCATTAATCAGAACTCTACCCATCTCTTGGATAGTGCGATTTTTCCTTTCCACAACTCCGTTTTGTTGTGGAGTTTTTGGAGCTGAATATTCATGTGTAATACCAAATATATTACAAAAGTCATCGAATACTTTGTTCTCGAATTCTCTGCCGTGATCACTTCGTATCCTTTTGATGGATTCGTTTCCTTCTTTTTGAAGTTTTAATCCCAGAGTTTTGAATGCCTCAAATGCCTCTGATTTTTCCCTGAGAAACATAACCCAAGAGAAACGAGAAAAGTCATCAACACATACTAGAATATACTTCTTACCTCCAAAACTTTCTGTCTGAGTTGGTCCGACGAGGTCCATGTGTATCAATTCCAAGCACCGACTTGTGTTTATGGTGTGTTGAGCTGGATGAGTTGATCTGGTTTGTTTCCCAGCTTGGCACGCACCACATATAGTTGACTCTATTTTCATCTTTGGTAGCCCACGAACTCCTTCGATTTTAACAAGCTTATCGAGAAGTCTATAGCTCAGATGCCCCAGCTTTTGATGCCATAGTTCAGCTTCATTTATGCTAGACCTGCAACATAACACATTGTTAGTTAGAATATAGCAATTGTCAGTTGATCGTTTACCTTCCATGACGCATTGATTTGTGTTGTCTATCACACTGCAGCTATTTTTGGTGAAGCACACGTTCCAATTTTGATCGCACAATTGACTTATGCTGATAAGATTGGCGTGAAGTCCACGGACTAGTAACACTTTGTCCAGTTTTGGCAGACCAGCTACGTTTAAAGTGCCGACGCCAGTGACTTGACCTTTGACACCGTCACCAAAGGTAACTTCACCGTTACTGGTGTTGATGTTATTTAAGAATTTCACATTCCCTGTCATGTGACGTGAGCACCCGCTGTCAAAATACCACTTTTCTTCTCGCCCTGCACTTTTAGTATGAAACGAAACAAAGGATATGTAATCAGTCTTTTTAACCCAAATCTGTTTTGTGAATGGTTGAATGTTCTTGTGCCTGAACTTCTCAATTCGTTGATCTTTGTAGAAATAGTAGCATTCCGGCCTGGTGTGTCCGTGCAACCTGGAATAGTGGCAAACAGGATTATATAGCTTATACTTTATTTTGTTTACATTTACCTTACCATAGACATAGTTTTTAGTGCTGCATTCAGGGATATCGTTTGAATCTGGTCTGGATGCTTTGACAAACACGGTTTTGTCCTTGGAGTTACTGCCGGTATAGCCCAACCCAAATTTAGCTGATGTTTTTCTGCCTGAATCAAGAATTTCATCTAATTTGGATGTGGTGTCCATCATCTGGATTTGACGTTTGCAAGTGCTGAGTTCTTGTTTCAAATTCTGAACTTCTTGTTGTAGTTTTGCTTCTCGATCAGCTGCTTCCTTCAGGAGCACATTCCCGGTTTGAACTTCATTTTGTAACCTTTCCTCTCGTCCTGCAGCTTCTTTAAGCAATTCATTCCTATCAGCTACTTGACTTTGATATACTTTATTTGCATTTGTTACAATCTCTATTTCACTAGCTAGTTTGCAGTTCATTTTTCTTAGTGCTTCCCATTTGGGATACAACTTATTAAACTCAGCTTCAAAAGATAATGCATTCTGTTCAACATCTTCTGCAGAGACGTAGTCACCACCTTCTGAGTCTTCAACAGATTCTGAACTTTCTAGTAATCGGGCCGTGAATGCAACAAAGTTGCCTGAGATTTCTTCAACATCTGACCCGGTTGGTTCGATATCAGGCTCGTCATCGCTCCAGGTGATAGCTGACATAGACTTTTTACGTCGAAGATAGGTGGCGCATTCAGCTTGAACATGGCCAAACCCCTCACATTCATAACACTTGATGCCTTTGTTATTTGACCTTTCTTTGGACTGTCCCGAACGCTTAGCGTTTGACGTCCCTGTCTTCGGTGTTGTTTTGAATGTCGTAGCTCCCTTTTGTGGATTTCTGTTGCGCGTGTTTTTGGATACCTGTTTCAAAATTTTGGAAAATTGTTTAGTTAAGAAAGCGACTGTATCCTCACTAGATTCATCTGTATCAGATACTACATTATTTTCTTCAGCGGAAAAAGCAATATTTTTTTGTTTTTTCGTATGATCAGTTAAAATCTCCATTTCATAAGTTTTAAGATTTCCCATTAGCTGAGTAACAGATTTTTTCTCCCATCCATCATGCTCTTGGATGGCTGTGACTTTCATTCGGAACTTGGGCGGTAAAGATCTCAGTATCTTTTTAACTAGCTTTTCCTGCGAGAATGGTTCACCAAGGACCATTGCGCGATTTGCCAGTTCCTGTATGCGTGTATGAAAGTCGATAACTGTTTCATCTTCATTCATGCGCAGTTCTTCGAATTCTGACTGGACCAGTTGCAGCTTAGACTGTTTTACCGATGTGGTTCCTTCGTAAGTAGACTCAAGAGCCTCCCAAGCACCTTTAGCTGAAGGAATACCTGCAACAATAGAGAACTGGCTTTCATGCATAAGAGAATAAATTGTGTCTAAAGCCTTATCATTGTTTCCTGCATTTGTTATTTCTGTTTGAGTCCATTCAGTTTCCGGCTTAGTGACTTCTGTTCCATCAGCGCTGGAACTGGCTTTAGTGGGATGTGTCCATCCTGACACCACAGACCGCCATACAGCCTCACCTTGTGCTTTTAGATGAGTACGGGTGCGAGCCTTCCAGTATGCGTAGTTGTCACCGGTCAACTGGGGAAGGACTTTAATTCGATCCATTCTGTAACACTTAACACCCCGTGAGATCACACAAATAAACAATAAACAAATAAACAGAAATAGCCGCTGAAGAAATGAGTTCAAGAAGCACGAATTCGCCAGATCGATAGACTAATAGATTAAGTCTACAGGCTCTGATACCAATTGAAATTGTTTCGTGATGCTTGAACGAAAACAGATATGTGTTTTATGTATTAATTAAGATCTATACTAGATTTGATTAATTAATTTACTGAGTTTATGCAAGTGTAAATCGAATACGCATAAAGCATAAACAAAATAAAACACAGGGAAATTGTTACGCAGTTCGGAGCTCCTTCTCCTACGTCTGCGGGGCAACCCACGTCTGCCCAATCCACTATAGATGTTCACCAAAGGAGTATTACAAGGGGTAACTGTAGACGGCCTCCAGCCTTTTACCACTACCACTCTTTCTAACACCTATCCAGGATTGACAACGAACGCCCTAACAATCTTCACAAAGCTTCAGTAGTACCACGTACTGTCCAAGCAGTACAATACAAATATTCTTGCAAATTAAAACATAAACAATAATATAGAAAATAGCTTGGTAATTTTCAGCACAGCTTTCGGAATAGTAATTCTCAACATCGCAATTGTTGTCTTCGAACATAGTGTATTTATAGCCCTCTTCATAAGCCTTTTTGTCTTGATCCATCAAAGTAGCCAATGCTTTAGCAGCTCACTGTTCGAATGCTTCTCACCCATACATTTGGAATGCTTATTTGTGGACTCTAAAGACATAATGATTGATGTCCACTAATTGAGATAATTTCCATTAAATGATCTCACGTGGTCCACTAATCATTAACAACTTTAATTTAATTTAATCTATTCCTAGTTAGACTTACAAATAAAATTGCCAAACTTTTGTGTAAAAATAATTTACACTTACAAATTATATTCACTACATTGTTCATTGTCTTCTTTTTACATCTTCTTGTAATTAAATATCAAAGCTATAATACAAAATATTTATATATTTATTTATCAAGTGTTTTATACATATATAATAAATATTACTCCCTCAGTCCCGTAAAAGTTGTTTGTTTTCCTGTTTTGCCCCTTTTTATTTTCTCTCACCAACCACGTACTCAAGAACCCACTAGAACACTGCACACTATACACTTCTTCCCTCTCTTTGTTTCTATTTCTCTGGTTCTAGTTCTCTCTCCAGATAAGAATTCTAAAATTCTCTAGTTTTCACTCCAAATAAGAATTCTAAAATTCTTTCTTCCACGAAAATTTAGAGATCAACATCTCCATACTCATATGAGAAGATATTGAAGATCTGTATCTCCTAATTTCGTAGAAATTTCAACACATGAGGCGAGACGAAACGCGAAAATGCAAATCTTCGTGAATCCTTTTATTTCATTGAAGATATTGAAATCTGCATCGCCAAACTTCTACTTTCATTTCATTTTGAATCCTTTATATAATTTGAGACCTTGATGGATATCTATGTTTGGTAGTATAATTGTTTTGGATTAGCTTTTGCAACTCTTTGGTTTTGATGAAACTGGAGTATGGTTAGCGCCGTGGATTTCTGCAACAGCCGCATCATCTATCACCGGGATCTCAAGCAGGAAAATCTACTCCTCAACGAACACGGCAACTTGAAATTTTTAGATTTTGGACTGTCCACTTTGCCGGAACAACTCCGGAACGATGGTTTGGTCTATACCCAGTATGGGACGCCGGCGTACGTGGCGTCGGAGGTGTTGAGATGGAAAGGGTACGGCGGCGCTGGAGGTGTTGAGATGGAAAGGGTATGGCGGCGCCTGGAAGTATGGATAAATTCGAAAAACAGAATAATAAATTGGGATATTGTAAAATCTCATAGGGGTAAATTGGGAAAAAGGGAATAATAATGATGTTCAAAACACATGAAACATGTAGGAGAAAAACTAATACTACCAAATATCAATAGGCGCTTGTAAGATAAAGATTTCATAGTACAACTAAGATTCAGTCATATACACAACAAGGCAGATCTAAAATTTCCAACATCATAATCTCATTGCATGATGATGCCCTCTATGCTACCACCAGTAATCCAATTGCACATGACATACTACCAATAAAAAAAGAGAGGACATACATACTACCAATAAAAAAAGAGAGGACATAACATGTATTGAAGATGAAGACAATGACAATGCTACCCAAAAGAGAATTAAGAAGACTTAAAGAAATTTAAACCAAAAGTAAAATTTATTCAGACTATCGCTTTTAGACTAAGTATTTAGACTAGCGTTATTACAAAATTGTAAACATTTATTTTGCAAACATTTATTTTAGTGACAATTATAATCATTCTCACATATATTAGCTTGCATTTATATACTTTGAATTACCAATTTAAATAAACAAATTCAACATTCAATTACCTATGCATGAACTTCTCCTATATAATATTGCATTGATATATTTAGAAGTATTTATTTAAAAATAATAATTGGGCATTATCCCATTCGCGCAATGCGCGTAAAATTAAAAAAAAAAATAAAAAAATAAAAAAATAAACTAGTTTGAGTGTATAATGTCGAATAAAACTGTAATTGAATTGAAATGAAACTGTAATTGAATTGAAATGAAACTGTAGTTGTGTTGAAATGAAATTGCAGTGTATATAAAATGAAACTAAATATATTATACAAACAGAGTTACTTTTTGCGGAACGGCAGCGAAAAGGGTGCCGTTTCTTTTCATTAAAAGAAACGACACCGTGTTTTTGGCTGGACTACAATACATTGTGGACCACGGTCCACAGTAAAATTTCCCGCTTTTATTAGATACCTAGATTCCTTAACTCAGAGTTGGGTAAGTCAATTAACCAGTGATCTATAAAAATAAACTAGTATTTGTCCCGTGCGATGCACGAAAAATATGTTATAAAAATATACCCTATATGAGGTTTATTCATATATAAAATTTTTGTTATTTAATAATTATTATGTGTGAATTTCTATGATAAAATTATGAACATAAATATATTTACAATTAAAATAATATTTAAGGTGGGTAATTACTACAAATCTTAAACTATATTAAAAATTTTGTACATAGTATTTAATATTACAAATTTTTAAAAACTTAGTAAACTACAATAGTAATTGAATTACAATTTTAGAGTCACCACGGATCAAAATATTTAGACCTTTGAGATTTCTAACTCTAGATGTAGCAACATACAATTGACCTTTAAAGACCAAAATCACAATCTTAGTTTGAACATTGATGTTTTCTTCCAAATACTATGGAATTAAGTGTGTAATCAATAAAAGATGAGAACTAATAATTCGAGAATATAATCTTAATGTTACTAAGCCTACTTCACGTCAATTAAGTTGGAGAGTGTTGTTGGATAGTATCCGATGAATCCACGAATATTGCATCTTTGTCTCCGTAGTCCTCAATATGTACATCAACAATCTTAAATATTAGGCCGCCTAACTATGCCATATATTAATTTCAAACTTATGAACTTTGGGTTGCATGCAATAAAAAGTATATTATAAATATACTAAGTGTACAATATATATGTATGTAAGGTACTTTCAATATAAAAATAATGTATTTTTAATATATTAAAAATGTATTTGATATTCATGATCCATACAATTATGTGGACCATCGTTCACACAATAATTTGCCAGTAGAAATTGAAATATAAATAAATAAATAAATAAATATATATATATATATATATATATATATATATATATATTTATTTATTTATTTATTTATTTATTTATTTATTTATTTATTAGAAACTGTCAGTGGAAATTATTATCATTATTATTATTGCAATTATTATTATTATTGTTATTGTTATTATAATTAACAATATTATTATGGTCTTGTGAAAATTAAATGTTAGTTATCACCATTTAATTTTCACAAGACCATATGGCTTTATTATATATAGGATAATATTTCTTTTTTAATCTAAGGGCGACCAATGAGTGAACGAGGAGAGATAATTATATGGACGAGAAGCATATACCAATATTTTTTGCATCATAAACTATATATTATGGTTTGTGGTTCAATATAATTGTGGTATAAAGTTGGTGTTATTTCTTCATCTCATCTCAACTGATTTTTCCATCTAAAAGCAGCGAGTGCACGACGTGGATTATATTAACTAGTATCTTACCCGTGCGATGCACGAATGAAATTCTTTTATTATATACTTAAATAACAAATTTAAAGACAAAATTTTTTAAACAATTTTAATATTTGGAAGTGTATATTTATTTGATTATAAAACAAGTGTAAAGTATCACTCAATTAATTATAAATAAATAATATATGATTCGTTTATCTGTAACTATTTTGAACAAATCGATATGTAATATGATTTATGTAATTATAATATTATTACTAAAATAAATATAGAAAAATGAAAAATTATTTAATTGTAATTATTATAAAAATAAATCCAGTGACCCATGTTTAACTTAATTAACATAATAATTATTATGCAATTAAACTAATTATATGTAATTATATTTTTATACCTTATGTACATTCCTTTTCACCATATCGTGTTTACTTTTTTCATTCTCATCCATATCTGAATGAATTAATTGTAGTTATTATAAAAATAAATCCAACGACCCGTGTTTAATTGTAATTATATAAATATCCATGTAATTATTAGCTTAATTAACATAATAATTATTTGTCAATTATACTAATTTTTGTGCAATTAATTTTTTAATTACTATAACAATTATTGGGTAATTATTATACTAATCTTGTACAATTATGTTTTTATACCTTAAGTATAAAAAATATATATATATATAGAGAGATTACCATAAAATTACCATAGTAATTACACAGAATAATAGGATTGATAATTTATTTTGTTTTATAATTACAACTAATTTTTTTGATAACCTATATATTTTTTTTATACTAATTTGTAACACCCACATTTTCCATTACTAAATTTTCTTAACAATAATATTCTTTTTTCAATTAAAAATTTACTAATACTATAGCGGAAGCATTAACTAACCAAAAGAAATAGGTCTTACCGCCACGCTTAGGCATTTCTCTATACCTAAACGCTAAGGATAAAATTCACAACTTACAGTACATAAACCAAATCTCACTTATTACATAAAGGGGAAATACTATACAACCATGTATTCATCAAATCACAATTCTTTCAAGGTGTCTATTCTTAGATAGACTTAATTATGTTGAATTGCAGGTTTGTCTGCATGCCTTTAACTCGAACAGTAATAAAGAGACAAGAATAAAGAACAGAAAAGACAAAAGTAATTCTTATTATCATAAAAAAAAAACCTCTGTACAGCATTACAATGGTATATATAATCTCTCTATCATAATAACCTTTAGGACTCTTACAGTATTAGGAATCCTACAGTATTCAGAATCCTATCAAAAATATAAAGCAAGAATAATGTCCACATAAGGTTTTACAACACTCCCCCTTGGACATTATTTTGCCATAATCATGCCTCGTTAAAAACTCGCTAGAAAAATCCTATGGAAAAAACACCTAGTCGAGAAAAGAGTACATGATATATGGATAACCATGTGTTGCATTAGTTGTCTCATTAAAAACCTTACATTACGAAAACCCAGTGGGAAAAAACTTAGTTAAGGGAAAAAGAGTACAACCATAAGCATTCAAGGAATAATCGGCATAATCTTCAGGATTTTGGGGTTTGTCTATTTAAGCAATTATTTTGCAACTTTTCCTCATTTACATTACTATATCATACTCATATGCCTCATTAAAAACCTCACTAGAAAACCCGGGAAAAACTAGTTGAGGAAAAAGAGTGCATGATGTATGTGCATTCTTGTTTTAGATTAGTTGCCTCATTAAAAACCTTAGATTTAAGGAGAAAAAAAAAACCTCCCGTGGGGAAAAACTTTAACTAAGGAAAAAGAGTACATCTGTTAGTTGTCAAGACCCAATCTTCAGGATTGTAAAATCCCCTCAAGAAGACAATCTTCAAATCCACACATAAAATATATATCAAAAATTGTAGTAATGGAAAATTGTAGTAATGGATTAGTCAAATCTTCTGGATTGTCACTAGAGTGAATATCTTGCACAATAATTTTCTGCCTCTTCTAGAGCTCGTATTGGTTGAATTCTGACGCTATATATGCTTTGTCAAATATTCTTAAACATACTCATATATCATTTGTGCAACTAAAGTGTTATTGTCCTCATTTGAGGCATTGGGGGTAATTCATTGTTCAACCAGTTTGGAATTTTGGCATCACGGGGATCAAAGATATATAATAGCCAATACCGAAACAACTTATCAAAATCATACATTTGTTTCTCATATAAATGCCAAACTCTTTTGTAACTTGGGATATATATTAAACACTATTCCAATATTTCATTGTAGAATGAGCCCTAGATGTTGCTAGCAATTTTATCGCAAATATCATGTCTGTTGCGATTATGGAACTTCTGGTTCTAAAATGTGCTCCAACGACAAATAAAGTAATAAAGGACTGTTAAGGTATCCTTATCGAGTCTAAACAGTTCCTTATCTACTTCAAGAGATTATTAGGCAACCTATAGTTTGACAGAACCGTGATACTTAACCATATAGACATGTGAAAAATAGGCTAACTGGTGTATAAAATTCATTCAAATAAAAACTCGATCTTCAAGTTGAGATAATACTTAGCTTTCACAAGCTTTTTATTTCAAAATCTCCGTCTTTTGATATGAGCTGACATCATCAAGCTCTTTATATATTTCATTGATGTTTATACCATCAATATTGACTGAGATAATAAATAATAAATAAGTTCATTATCAACCCTTTATCGAGCACATAATGGTACATATTATTCCTTCTTAATGAAGATAATAACTCCATTCGCAACTCTTTAAAGAGTACATAATGACACATAAATACATATTCCTTCTTCAAGAGAAAAAATACTCAACCAATTCTTAATTATTTCAGGTCATATAAAGACCTTAATATTTTAATGTTGCAATTTTCACTTTTTCTCATTTTGAGAACATAAAATCCTTCGGGGACTTTTGAAATTAATATTAGTTACATATCTAAGTTTATTATTCTACCAATAATATTATGTAGCGAAACTTAAAGCCATTTACCGTGGGAGAGTTTATTTGATTAGAATCAATCAAGGGTATCTACGTGAACCCATAAGGCTACAAACTCGCTTCATATCATATCACCCCGTTATTCTTATTTCTCTTCCATGCACACACCTTTTTGTAACCTTCGAGGTTAACACTCAACGATGTATTGTTATATAGAGAATATATATTTTAGCGAGTTGAGCTATGACTTAATTTCTCCTTTATACGTTAAATAGTCATGCCACTTCCGGTGCCTAACTCTGGATCCAGATTATCATATAACGGAGCAATTTCTAAAGGCAATTGTGTTGTCGGCAACTATAATACTTTCATAAATCTCTCACATATTTATAATTGTTCATGGCAATATTTAAGTCAACCAGATTCTAGGCATTTCCCAGAACTATTCATATCACATCTGGTTGTCCCGCATCCCTAGTATTATGTTTGTTTGGTGCACCTATGAATTGACTAGGGTTTCTCGTCATCTGGACGAGTGTCTCCAGGACTAAATTATTCAAGCTTTTCCAATAGTGACAATGTTTATTTACTAGATCTAGTATTATGATTCTTATATCTTTTCAGCAATAGATCTCATACACTTCTAGTGTCAAGGAGTATCGGTATATATATTTGGTCCAAGTTGGGGAAAGTATATGGATCTCGTCACTCTTTTATGATCACTATGATCAATAGATATGTTTGGTAGATTATTTACTAATGTCGCCAATATATAGACTATCTTTTGAACTTCTAGTTCAGTCTAACTACTACGTGAATTTAAATAATGAAGATCTTTTCATTTTATGAAATTTCTCGGCATTTCATTAAAATTTAGTTTATTATCTCTCCATAATGCCGAGACACAATGTTCATTAAGTATGCAATTGGCGTATATATTTCCGTATAATGGGCTCTAGGTATTTAAATCCACTAGTGTTGATCCATTGTTTTGAGATTAAATCCATATTGCATCTTTATTTGGAATCCGTTAGTATTGAGTTATTTCATTGAGATTATTCTTTGTTGTGCTCTTCTCTTGGAATCCAAGTAATAACTTAGTTTCATGAGACCTTGTTGAATCTTGAAAATCGTGACTTTGATAATCATGACTTTGGTTGTAACCAATAGTACTCTCGAGTTTCAAGTTTAGAAAGCTCTTGCTTTCTTCTTCTGTGGAGTCAATTTCCTTCAAATCAAGTGCACGCCTATCTGGTGAATTCAAGTTTGTTAGTTCAGCAGTTGCCTCGTTTAGCCTTGTTGTTACCTTGAAAAGTTGAAGAGTTAAAAGTTAAAAGTTGAAAGTTATGTGAAGGTTGTTAATGTGATAAGTATAAGAGTTATGTTTGTATCTTGTTGGTGTGCTTTTGTTGTGCATGAAGTGTTAGAATGAGACAAGTGTTAGTGATTAAGTGTAGTTCTTGTAGCATCGTATTGGCGCCAAGAAGCAACGTTTGGATCCGGAGCATTCATGGAGTGGATCTTCCCGTCGTCGAGGCACATCAAATCCAAGGAAGCACGCAAAGCCAGAGCAAGAGAAAAGCTAGCGAGGACGTGAAACAAGTAGAGAAGAAGTCAAGACTTAACCATTATGATCAAGTCAAGAGCTCTCAAAGGAACCATGGCACGGTGGACAAGAAGGATAGCCCAAGTCAAGACCCAAGTGTAGAAAGGAAGAACAAGACTGGAGGAAGACACTATCATTGCAACAAATTTGGTAAGGAACACCCAAGAGCCAACTGTAGTGGGAACCCAATAAGGTGCTCAAATGTGGAAAGGTTGGGCATCGAGTCTATGAGTGTTACGCAAATCCAAAGGGGAACGCCTTAAGTCAAGGACCTAATGAGAGTGGACGTCAGCTGAAGAAAAGATCTTACAGTTACAAGCCTGGAAACAAGAATGACAAGGGTGGACAAAGAGGCAACCACGACAGTATCAAGAACAAGAGAAGTAGGAAGGAAAATCAAGATCAAAATGGTGGTAGTGGTAATCAGTTGATGAGGAGAGCTCAAGTGAAGATTGTTGGCGTGGAGACAAGTAGACTCATAATGAACGCCATACCTGTTTAGGTAACATAGTTGATTTTGGAATTTCAACCTTCGGTGGCTGTTATGCTTTTGGATTGATAGTGTGGAAACCTTTAAAGGTTAAACCCTAAGGGTAAGAGTTGAATTAGAAACATAGAGAATTGAAACTTAAGATTGGGTTATTCATAAGTATGATAGTCCCTTCTATCTTTATGAAGATAAGGAAGAGACGAGCTAAGAGTTGTGAGCCCCGAAGGGAGTGAAGTTTAAGCTGATGACTAGTAACCTTAGTCCTTGAGATATGAGTGGATAGGAAGAATGATGTACATAAGTCTTAAGATCCTTCGAAGTGTGAAGAACTAAGGAATGAATTAAGTAAGGAAAGGCAAGTAAAAGAATGGAGATTTAGGAATGATAAGACGTGTGAGAACTCAAGGATGAATTATAGTAATGAGAATGAAACAAGAGATAGTTGAATTCATGATAGAATGATGGAATGATTAAAGACTAAGTTTGGTAGGAGTAAACCGAAAGGATTAGCTCAATCGTTGAACTCCTCGAATAAGAATGAGACTTTGCATAAGAGAATTTTGAAGGAATGCATCGTACCGGTGATGAGAGAGGAAGGTAATTTGCATAATGAGTATGTTTGCACGAGATTGCATAATGGGAATATTGCACGAGATTGCAAAATGAGAATGTTGCACGAGATTGCATAATGAGAATGTTTGCACTAGATTGCATAATGAGAATGATTAACCGAGATTGTATATTGAGTATGATTGCCTTAGTCGCATATTGATGTCTTATATATCTAGTTTTCACGATGAGAACTCGAAAGCATGAGAATAATTTCTTATTGATTTATAGTACGCAATTGCTTGATAGCATGAGATCGTCATGATGAGTTTTGCTATGATGAATATGTGTTAGAGTGATTATGTTGATAAGTATTTATCGTTGACGCATGCCTGTTGATATTATAGGTTGCGAGCATATAGAAAGCTTGTAGTTTATCTTAAAGTTGTCTAAGTGTTGAGATTGCTTGATTTGAGAATGTCAGCAAATGTTTTTCCAAAGTATATATTGTAGTGTTTTACCGGGTTGAGTGTGGTTATTCTTAGCTTCGTGCTAACGGGTGTTTTCTAATTGTCTACTTGTTGTTTTGCAAAACCCCTTTCACGTGGGCCCAGCGTTTGAGAATTGTTCGAGTTAGACTAGTTGAGTAGATCTAATAGTCTAAACTCTATTTATCTTTATGATGTTTTGGATGATGGATTGTAGGCTTATGTTATTTATGTTTGGTGATAGACACCGGTGTGTTTTTCCCCAAGTGACTTTAATTAAGTAGTTTCAATGTTAGTTCGACTTGATGATTTAGTTATATCCTTAGCCTGTGCAATCACTGTGGAATGGTGGTTGTGGCGGTGACATTCCCACTAGTTTTTTATTTAAGTTTGTTTGTCTGCTGCTTAGTTTATCTTAATTTGGTTTTTTAGAACTGTAATTAAGTTCATGAAAAGTGAGGTGTTACAAGTTGGTATCGGAGCGGGAAACTTAGGAAGTCTGAACCTTAAGATTGAGTATAGAAACTCTAAGTAAAAGTCCTAGGAAGGACAAGTTAAGGAAAGACCTCTAAGTTGAAGACTTAAGAAAGACAAGATAAGAAGGGAACTTTAAGTGGAAATCCTAGGAAGGATCAGATTAGGGAAAGGGCCCTAAGTTATGAAATTTGAGATAAAAAGAGCCCTAAGTTATGAATTTGAGATGAGAAAGACTCTAAGTTCAGTGATTAAGTATGAGAATCAGAGTTAAGAGAAACTCTAAGTATCAATTAAGAACGCGGTGAGGTTGTGAGTTTTCCTTGCGTTTGCTTAACTGTTTATGTGCTTTAGAGAAGTTGAAAGTGAAAAACCAAGAGTTTGAAAGTTGAAAGTAGAAGTGAAAGCTGAAAGTGAAAAGCTAAGAAAACTAGAAGTTAGAATGTGAAAGAAAAACCTTATGAAGTTGATAACAGTAAGAAGTATACAAGTTTATACCTATGTGTGTTTGTGTGCTTTGCTTGTTTAGATCTGGGGTTGTTGTACCCTGATAGTGTGCACATAAGCTCCTTGTCCTTGAAACCTATCTTTCATTCCATATATGAACATTCATTGTGTCGTTGGTTGTCTAAGCATATTCCTTGTTCATATGCTTGGTTTTGACGTCGAATCTTGAGTATATTATTGTGTTTATTGTGACAATCTTCTATTCTAAATTCCTTGTTGTTGATGACATGATAATCCTTGAATTTGTACCATCGTGTTTGAGCCTACGCTTTCTGGAAATCCTATCGTAATTTGTTGTTGATCCCTGAGTCATTCTGACTTCTTTCAGTTTGCTTTCGATGCCTATCGAAACTATATAATGTCTAAAGCTGAGTATGAGAAGTTGTTTTGATTGAGTTGAGCCTTGAATTATTGCTAATGTCTATTCTTGACATTCCACGATTTATTTTTGCATCTGCATCTGAAATGCTTATAAATTCCTTCAAAGTTTTATTGTGAGCTTCCGTTGACTTGCAATGCTAGTATAATTGAATCTTGAAGCTAGAAAGATCTTGTTGAAAGCCTTATTCTTGGAATCTCATTGTGTTTGACTTGAGCTTATTATCCTTGAATCCATATCATTGAAATCCATTGAGTTGTTGAGTCAAGATCTAATTGTTGTTGTTATGCCATTGCAATCCGTATTTGTTGAGTTATTTCTATGAGCTAATATATGTTGAGTATTCTTGAAAGTGTTTGTTCTTGAATAGCTATTGTATCGAGTACGTGTCTTTTTACACTTTCGGATCCTATTACTATAGTCTTGAGATCGTCCATTGTGTTATTATTTCCTTGTTATTGAGCTATTGAGCTATTGATTCGAGACCATCTTTCTTTTATATCTGCATTTGGAATCCACTAGTGTTGATCTATTGCTTTGAGATTAAATCCTTATTGCATCTTTATTTGGAATCCGTTAGTATTGAGTTATTTCATTGAGATTATTCTTTGTTGTGCTCTTTTCTTGGAATCCGAGCTACAACTTTGTTTCACGAGACCTTGTTGAATCTTGAAAAATCGTGACTTTAATAATCATGACTTTGGTTGTAACCAATAGTACTCTTGAGTTTCAAGTTTAGAAACCTCTTGATTTCTTCTTCTGTGGAGTCAATTTCCTTCAAATCTAGTGTACACCTATCTGGTGAATTCAAGTTTGTTAGTTTAGCAGTTGCCTCATTTAACCTTGTTGTTACCCTTGCAAAGTTGAAGAGTTAAAAGTTGAAAGTTGAAAGTTATGTGAAGGTTGCTAATGTGATAAGTATAAGAGTTATGTTTGTATCCTGTTGGTGTGCTTTTGTTGTGCGTGAAGTGTTAGAATGAGACAAGCGTTAGTGATTAAGTGTAGTACCTGTAGCATCGTATTGGCGCCAAGAATAGACGTTTGGATCCAGAACATTCATGGAGTGGATATTCCTGTCGTCAATGCACATCAAATCCAAGGAAGCACGCAAAGCTAGAGCAAGAGAAAAGCTAGCGAGGACGTGAAGCAAGTAGAGAAGAAGTCAAGACTTAACCATTATGATCAAGTCAAGAGCTTTCAAAGGAACCATGGCATGGTGGACAAGAAGGATAGCCCAGTCAAGACCCAAGTGTACCAAGGAAGAACAAGACTGGAGGAAGACACTGTCATTGCAAGAAGTGCGGTAAGGATCACCCAAGAACCAACTGTATTGGGAACCCAATAAGGTGCTTCAAATGTGGAAAGGTTGGGCATCGAGTCTATGAGTGTTACGCAAATCCAAAGGGGAACGCCTTAAGTGAAGGACCTAACAAGAGTGGACGTCAGCTGAAGAAAAGATTTTATTGTAACTAGTCTGGAAACAAGAATGACAAGGGTGGACAAAGGGGCAAGCACGACAGTATCAAAAACAAGAGAAGTAGGAAGGAAAATCAAGATCAAAATGGTGGTAGTGGTAATCAGTTGATGAGGAGAGCTCAAGTGAAGATTGTTGGCGTGGAGACAGGTACACTCCTAATGAACGTCATGCCTGTTTAGGTAATATAGTTGATTTTTGAATTTCAACCTTCGGTGGCTGTTATGCTTTTGGATTGATAGTGAGGAGACCTTTAAAGGTTAAACCCAAAGGATAAGAGTTGAATTAGAAACATAGAGAATTGAAACTTAAGATTGGGTTATCTTAAAGTTGTCTAAGTGTTGAGATTGTTTGATTTGAGAATGTGAGCAAATGTTTTTCCAAAGTATATATTGTAGTATTTTACAAGGTTGAGTGTGGTTATTCTTAGCTTCGTGTTAACGGGTGTTTTCTAATTGTCTACTTGTTGTTTTGCAAAACCCCTTTCAGGTGGGCCCAGCGTTTGAGAGTTGCTCGAGTTAGACTAGTTTAGTAGATCTAATAGTCTAAACTCTATTTATTTTTATGATGTTTTGGATGATGGATTGTAAACTTATGTTATTTATGTTTGGTGATAGACACCAGGGTGTTTTTCCCCAAGTGGCTTTAATTACGTAGTTTCAATGTTAGTTTGTCTTGATGATTTAGTTCTATCCTTTGCAATCACTGTGGAAATGTGGTTATGGCAGTGACATTCTCACTAGTTTGTTATTTAAGTTTATTTCTCCGCTGCTTAGTTTATCTTAATTTGGTTTTTAGAACTGTAATTAAGTTTAAGAAAAGTGGGGTGTTACTCTATGTGTATGGGGGAATAATTACAATATGCAATGAGTCAGATTTGAATTAATACAAATATCCCCAAAAATAGATAATTTGGTAATTTGCTATTCACACATGCTTTATAATTTACTCATATATGGGTAAGAAATTCCAATATCTGACTCATTTGTTTGCCCTAAGTAACCCAATTGTTCATTCCATAATTTAAAAGAATTTGGGTCTTTACAATTTGGAAAAAAAATATCGCAACATATGGAGTACTCATAAGTATATGCACATATATGTCCAAATCGAGAAAGCATACATATTAATTAAATGAAAT